CAGTTGCAGTAGAGGCCTGGCAGAGCATCACCAGGATGAAACCCAGCGTCTGGTGATGTCTATGCGTTCCAGACTTCAGGCTGTAATTGACTGCAAAGGATTTGCAACCAAGTATTAAAAAGTGAAAGTTTGATTTATGATTAATATTCTGTCCCATTACTTTTGGTCCCTTAACAAGTGGGAGGCACATATGCAAACTGTTGTAATTCCTACACCATTCACCTGATTTTGATGTAAATACCCTCAAATTAAAGCTGCCAGTCTGCAGTTAAAGCACATCTTGTTTGTTTCATTTCAAATCCATTGTGGTGGTGTATAGAGCCAAAAATGTTAGAATTGTGTCGATGTCCCAATATTTATGGACCTGACTGTATATATGAGCCATTATTACCTGGCAGCATATTTTTCAATATGCCTTAATGACTATCAGATACTGTATATGCTTTGCTATAGGAGCTAAAGATTAGACATATACTTACTTTACTGTCAGTAAATGTCAATTACATTTAGAAGAGTACTTTTCACAATACACTGTATTTGATAATGAGTACCGGTGATCTGGCAAATGTAAAACTGAGAACAGTATATAATAGTATATTATATAATAGTATTTCCTCTCTCTAATTTTGATTGGTGATTAATAAATGGCAGTAAATGTTAGGAGGTCAGTGGGTGGATGATAAATGATGGGAGGTTAATTTGGGTCAATAATTCTTTTAGAATAAGCCCAGCTATCGAAATTTGGTTCAGTAGGGACTGTTGAGATTTGATTTATGTAAGGACAGGCTGACTGTACCCAAAATGATCCATCAATCAACTTGGGTACAACCACCCTGTTGGATTTTTTACATACATTAACTGGCTGTGGCTATAGCCACTAGCAGTAATTGTTGTGTTCTGCTGGCCAGGAAGGCTCCCAGTGCTCCCCCGTCCGCAGAACACAATAGTACTGCAGGAGGCATTCCCCTATCAACACTGACTGTGTCAAATGGAAATCAAATCATCTATGGGATGCTTTAGTTTTCACTTGTATTTGAAGGCAGTAAATATAGAAATCGGGTTGTTGAGTAGAATTTTTACTGTTCCCCTCTTAACCTAAGGCAACTATTTGCTAGGCTAATGGTTGTGGTGAAGTATTTCTATTCAAACAGCCTGCCAAAAACAAAAAAAACAAACACTGAGGAAACCGCAGTCTTGCCCTCTAAATGTTTGTCAATGGCAACAGCTGTGAAAAGTGATCCACCACTGATGGATGGCTTTACAGAGAGACGCCGGTGTAAAGGAGCCCTAAAGGTATCTGTAGAACTCCACACCAGTCTGTTTCCTTAAGGCTGATGAGGCTAGAAGAGAGACAGTTACCCAGGGTTGGATTGTCAGCCACCAACCTTGAGGTCTCTCCAGAAGTTGTGCGTTATGACTGGCCTTGTTTAATAGCATGCTTTGGATTGTTCAGTATGGCCAATTATTAGATCAGTTGCAAGGAATCACAAATACTTTGGCAGTTAAAACAGTAACAACTTCAGTTTTAAACTTCAAAATAAGCTGTTTGCTTGGAGCTGTTATATAATAAATGATTTCTCTATAATTATTATTGTTTTTTGCTGCAAATTGGTGTGAAATCACAGGCAGCTAGTCTGTTCTTTAGCATATTCTTGCCTTTTTCTAGAAGGCTCCTCAACTCCGATGCACTGAGCTCACGTATGAGTCACGGTTTAAAATATTATTCCTAATGCATTGGACTAAAAAGGAAAATAGAATGACACCAAGTGCACTGCCTTTATCAGAAATTTTTAGCTGCTCCTCTTTTGGCTTCAACAAACCAAGAATATGATAGTGATGCATGCTGGCACAGACTGTACCATAGAAGGAGCTGTGGCTGAACACACTAATTAGAGGCAGCAGCTATAGGATTTGCCGGCCCAATAATTGTTGTTTACACCTTCTGTCATCTAGAAGCATGCTACATAATAAAAATGTGAGGAATTACACTGATCCAAAAGCCTGGCATTTCTTAACTGAACATTTTCCAGTAAATGTTTTCAGTATTTGAAATTAAAATTTAAGCATAACAAAAAAAGACAATGGGGCTGATTTACTAAAACTGCAGCGTGCAAAAGCTGGGGCGGCTCTGCATAGAAACCAATCAGCTTCCAGGTTTTATTGTCAAAGCTCAAGTGAACAAGCTGAAGTTAGAAGCTGATTGGCTGGCATGCAGAGCTGCACCGGATTCCGAGTCCTCCAGATTTAGTAAATCAACCCCAATGGGGTTGATATATTAAAGGAGTAGAGCATGTTAACTTTGAAAAATGTATCTTCACCTTGGTGAATGGGGTGCAGATGTGTTCACTTCAATTATCCAATTATGTGCAAGCAAAATTCTGTTTTTTTTCTATTGCACGGGATTGGATATTTAAGATAAATGTATTTACTAAGTGAAGTGAATACTCACTTTTCAAAGCACACATTAAGTGATAAGTTCACCTTTCATAACATGTTACACCCATGTTCAGGGTATAAAATGTAACGTTACTGTACGACTGCCCACCCACCCGATCCCCCGATGTGACAGCTGGTGGGGATCTTCTCTCCCCACTAGCTGTTGCAATTTGGAACAAAATGGGAAACTACAAGTCCTGACAGCATTTGCACTGTCAGTTTGTAGTTCTCAATTAACTATAACGGCGCTGTTGAGCACTGTGGTAGTTCATTGGTTCTTCCTGTCAGTGGACAAGGTACGAACAGACAGATTACACTGGCAGTCTGCAGGAGACCTGCATGGCACCAGTGATCTGCTACTAAAAAAAAATAGTAAATGTAAATTTTTTTACCTGCAAAAAAAATGTGCATTTATAATTTTATGTTATAGGTTAACTCATCCTTTTAAGTTTGCTAAGTGCACATTCAGAATCAACCTTACTGCCTCCTTCTGGCCTATACATCATTAATGGTCATATAATGCAGATCACTGAACAAGTCAGTCTTCACTGATCTGACTTCTCTGGGCTTTTCTGGGATAGCTCCAAGATCAAACAGTTTTAGTTTCAAGTTACCAAGGTCACTTTCCATCTCACTGACTTAAATTGTAGGCAAAACCCCATAGTCTGCTCCATCTAATACCAATCCTGAAGTCCATGTGAAAAAATCCCTACTAGTGTACCTCCATAGCACAGCTAAAGCCTCCGTTCCTTGTAACAGAAAATAGCCATCATCCAGTGGTTTGCCAGTATAAATGATATTATGAATAAGGAAGACCTAACAGTCTCAATCAGAGACAAATCATGCACCTTAAGAAATATGTGGTTTTACTGCATACAATTCACATTCTCCAATGAATAAACTACAGCCTTTCTCAATACAGCCCCAAGCTCCCCAACTTTCCCACGTGAGAGACCTAACTTATGTCATCATACAATGAACTTTAGTCATGCAGCTAAAGTAACTGCATGACTGCCGTCATCCTCCTCTTCCACGGAGGTCGAAATAGCCTTGTCACTTTTGTGATGGCTGGTTTGCTAAAGATTTACTTAGCACTTAGGTATGGCAGCGTACAGTCTATGTTACAGTACATACACAATAAATCACTTGAGGACCTTAGGCATAGGAGATAATTCCTAAAAACTTCAACAAAGTTTTTAGGGCGGAGCCTAGTGACATCATTTCCGGTGCTGCGCAAACCGATGTAAACAGTGAGAGGAACCATTTTTGTTGAGGGAGTTTGATGCCTGTTTTCAATCTTTTTTTGTGAGTTTCATTTTAATAGTGGAATAAAGCGGTTTTATCTTATGGAGTTGCACTATGGATTGTTCTTTCTTCCCTTGAGTACACATCATCCCATTGAGAAGTCTGGAGTTCGGTCTCTTATCAACGAAGTAGCCACAAATAGACAGCAGTGGATGAGCAGAAGTCAACCATCGCTTCTAAGCATCTATGACCCATTTTGTAGGTCTAGGAAGGAGGTGAGTGCCTGGTACACTTATTCGGTGATGGGAAACACCATGAAGCAGTTGGCACAGTGAAATAATATGAATATTGGATCACTTTATTTTGGAGCATGTGTATGTAGTTTCTCTTTAATGTGAGTGTATATGCTTAGTTTATTTAGAGTATAGTTGATTTTAACGGTGCTGCACTACGGAATATTTTTTGGTTTTTTATACATGGTTTGGAGTCAAGATTTAAAGAAGATATAGGGTCTGGAAGGAGTATCACATGGATCACAACTTTCAGGATACACAGTCCATTTAAAAGTATATTTGACCTATTATAATTTGCAGGTCAAACCTTAAGGTGAGCAGGGAGTGGATCCATAACACAAGCACGGTGTGGAATCTGTGATGAGATTACAACACTAGGACCTTCTTTGCATGTTGGACTGGACTATTTTTACTTTGATTGATTGAGGAGTGGATTATTTATTGTTTGTAAAAAAAAATATTTTTAATGGGAAGTTAGCGCACCACATTTTTTTGTTTATTTAATTTAAGTGAGAGGGAGTGCAGCAATCTGTTTTTTTTTTTATTATTATTTATATGGTATAGCAGTGCATGAGTTTAATATTCTATTTAAAGTTTTTAGGGAGTATCTCATATGCCCTGCTCCTCTCCTCCTGCTACCACTATTATTGACAATTCCTGGCTGTAAAAAGAGCAGGTGAGGATTGCTTTGTCAAAATTTCTATCAAATGCAGCTGATTCTTTGTAAAATAATGCTTGCAGATAGCCTGCAAATGTCATTGAGTAATACAGTGTAACAATGTAGTATTGTGTTTACTATTTCAATATATGTAGATAAAAGGTGTGACCTTTTCATATGTAGATAAAAGATGTGACACATTGTTTAACCACTTGCCTACTGGGCACTTTTACCCCCTTCCTGCCCAGGCCAATTTTCAGCTTTTAGCGCTGTCACACTTTGAATGACAATTGCGCAGTCATGCAACACTGTACTCATATGACATTTTTATCATTTTTTTTTGAGACAGAGCTTTCTTTTGGTGGTATTTAATTACCTCAGTGTCTTTTATTTTTTGCTAAACAAACCAAAAACTGAAAATTTTGAAAAAAAAGGTTTTTTCTTAGTTTTTGTTTTAAAATGTTGTAAATAAGTGATTTTTCTCCTTCACTGATGTGCACTAATGAGGCTGCACTGATGGGCACTGATACGTGGCACTGATGAGGAGGCACTGGTAGGTGGCACTGATATGCAATGTACAGCACTGAGCGAACTATTGGCGCTTTATAAATACTGTATAATATAATAATAATATGCATTGACAGGCATCACTGATGGGCACTGAAAAGCAGCACTCATATATGGCACCGATAGGCGGCACTGATAGGCGGCACTGTCTGGCACTGTTAGGCGGCACTGATAGGCAGCACTGACGGGCACTGGTAGGTGGCACTGATGCGCACTGATAGGCGACACTGACTGGCACTGATAGGTGGCACTGACTGGCACTGATAGGTGGCACTGGTTGGCAGCACTGATACGTGGCACTGACTGGCACTAATAGGTGACACTGAAAGGCAGCTCAGATGGGCAGGGCACTGATATGTGGCATTGATGTGCACTGGTAGGCACTGATATCTGGCATTTATGTTGCACTGATGGGCACTGACAGGTGGCACTGATGAGCACTGACAGCTGGCATTGATGGACACTGACAGATGGCACTGCTGGGGCTACACTGATCATCAGGGCACACTGATCATCAGTGCCCTGATGATCAGTGTACATGTCCCCTCTGAGGAATGCCGATCAACGGCTCTCCTCTCTTCTCGAGCTGTCAGCATGACAACTGGCATTTCCCTTTTTACATGTGATCAGCTGTGATTGGACATAGCTGATCACATGACCGAGCCGACATCTTCGGCTCTTCCATTGATCGGTGATCAGCTCTGTCCGAGGGACACAGCTCACCACTGATCGCAGCGCTGCACGCTACCGGAGCCGCGCACATGCAGTTAGAGTGGGAGGATGTCATATGATGTCCTGCCAGAATGAGAGAACCGCCTTGCGCCCGTCATTGCCTTATATGGCGAGTGGGAGGCGGTTAAACACTTGACCTCCGGAAGGTTTTGCCACCTTCATGTCCAGGACATTTTTTTGCTATTCAGCGCTGCGCTAATTTAACTGGCAACTGCTTAGTCATGCAATGCTCTACCCAAAAACAATTTTATTCACACAAAAAGAGCTTTCTTTTGGTGGTATTTGATCACCACTTTTTTTATTTTTCTATTATGTAAACAAAAAAAGATTACAAATTTTGAAAAAAACACAATATTTTCTACTTTATGTTATAAAACATAGCCAATAAAAAAATAAAAAGATCTAATTTCTAAATACATTTAGGCCAAAATTTATTCTGCTACAGTTATAAAGTTATAGCCTCTACCAACTATGGTATACAGTATATACTGGAATTTATGCAGCTGTGATGCTATACTGGTAATGGCGGTGTGATCACAATGCTGACACTACACTAGCTGATGCTGGCTGGAAAGTACACTAACTGACTGGCACTGCCATCAATAGTGACACTAATACAGTCATCAGTGCTAATACCATACACTGTTTTTTTGCCAAGGTCATCTTGAGTAAGAGCAGATAATTCGTATAGCTTTTAGTTCCTGAAATCCATCTGTCCTTCGGCCAGGCATGCAGGCAGGAGGGCATGCTTAGCTGAGAAAGCTTCTCCTCCTCTTCTCCAGATAAAAAAAAAAACCCATGAAGACTCCAGGGAGGTATGACATGATTCTGGCCTTGGCCAGAAACCAGGAAGCAAATGAAAAAAAATTAAAAAAAAAAAAAAAGTTAATAGGCATAATATACATTCCTGTGTATATACTAATGATAGCAGCATAAGGATTACAAATAGGTAATGCTGATTAAGAGAGTTTAGTTCCACTTTAAATCTGTCATTATGTATTTAGTATTTTGAACATAATGAAAACATCAAATGCACATAACTAGGGGGAACTAACAGACAATGTAACAGGAGTCCACCTAAAAGGAACCCTGGAGGGGTCGGGGGTAAAGGGACATAGGAATACAATATTTAAAAGCAAGAGCAGCATACGTATTACAGTGCCCCATGTACACTGACAGGACTTTATGGAATATCAAATATACATACGCTTTTTCAGTAGTTTTCATAACTGTAGCCAAATGAAAGAGAAATATAGTCCAAGGTAAAGAGAGTTCATCCTATCAAAGTTACCGGGCTCTCCATGTGCATCAGATCACTTATAATAGTCACCCACAAGGCCAATGATGGTATATTTGGGGACTTTCAGTGTGTGGAGTTATGATGGTACATGCCGCAACCAGAAAGTGTCAGAGAATATCTATTTAATGTGCCACAGTGAACCTGGGAGCATGGAAAGCAGTGCCACTTCTGGTGTACCACCCATTTCTGGATTTTTAAATTCGTAATCATTTTTGCAAGACAATCTTGCCAAAAGAAAGCCTAGTTTTTCAGCCCATAATTGCATTACTGTATGTACCTTGTTTATGAACAGAGCCTTTTTATTTAATTATCTCATTTCAGCATAGAAAAGTAGTAAACTAATTTAAAGATTCTAATGTAATTTCCCTATTTAACCCAGTGCTAAGAAGATTTCATGCAAACATCCCAGAGATTTTGACATGATGGAATGGGGGATGGTGAGTGTTTTTCACTAAACACAGGAAAAGTACCTTCCAGCCAAAACATGAATGCCATATCCTGCTGAGACATGTTCTGAAAGACCCGTTTTGGAGCACATGTGAATATGGCCCTAGACATATTATCATGCTGCTTTTTGATGCTGGGAAAGGTTATAACAGTGACTAATCACACGAATATAATGCATATATAGAAATAAACACAGCATGCAATATTTGTATTTAGTACACTGTAATAGATCACATAAGTGTGTTGAAAAATGAAAGCGGGCCTATTCATTGCAACCTGAGTGATCGTGTAACTTTGTTTTTAGGCCAATGGCTTGCAGATGTCTCCACGCAGTTTGCCTTTATTGACTAAGCACCCAGAAAGCTCCAAAGCATGAGCTATTGTGTCATACACCATTACAACCAGAATGTGCATTCTCTGACTTTGGTCCTTCCCCCTAATGTGATGGGTGAACGCATGGATGGTCTAGAAGGAGGCCTGGAGGTGGGAAGGGCAGGCCAGAACATGACAATGCAAACTCCTGGACTGTTCTGGAAATAAAACAATGAGGCCTTCAGGCACCTGAAGGTCCCTTTTCTCTGTACCATCAGCCCAGTGGTGGATTTAGGTTTTGTGCTGCCTAGGCAACACAAAAATTGGCGCCCCCCCCACCCTGCAAAAAGAGACTGACATTGACCAAGAACACCCCTGCCCTCCACCGAAGCCTTCCACTACCACTCCCCCCCCCATACACCAGCCACCATCCTCCATGGCGAGAGAGAGAAAGACACTCACTTTCACAGCTCCGGACATCCCCAGGAACGAGAGTGGGGCTGTACATATACCATCATGAAACCCACAGCATCTCTCGGAACCCACCAGGTGCCACGTGTGTCCCTTCTTCTGTCCCTTCTTCAGGAGGCAGTGCTGCCCCCCCTGAAAAATGCTGCCCTAGGCAAATGCCTTGTTTGCCTTGGGGTAAATACACCCTTGCATCAGCCAACTGTGCTGTGAAAAGATCCTAAAGGTTTGCAAATTCTTGTAACAATGGTTCCCAGCCCATCCACTTCCTATGTAGCTGGAAGACACAGTCAGCATTGGTTATAGCAAGAGAAGAGCATATTGCAAAGATATACCTCCCTTTACATACTGTAGATATCTTATTTACCTCTCTCAAGGCAGCTCATGCCCTACCTGACTTAGCCTAAGCATTTAAAGATACATCTACCCTTAAAAAGAACAGAAAGATAGGCTTTGTTACAGAATTCCTCTGTTACAAGGAAAAACATCTATGTGGTTGCGCGCTAATGGAAGCATCCGTTTACGGAATTGTGTGTCATATTATAGTTCCAGGATTGTGCCTCATATATTTTATTTTTCTTCATTGCACAATAACTACTAAGCGGCATGTGTATCAGGAAATCTCTGCTTCTATTGGAGCCTAATCACACAGGTTTACTTCTTGACAGATTCCCTGTTGCAAAGAGTACCTAGTCTGTTAACTTTATCACAGACCACCATTGTCCTAGCACTCCCTCTGCTGGAAACAAGAAGCTACTGGGAAAATCAGCTGCTCCGAAAAACACTACACTGTAGTACAGTACTATAGTAATATTAATAATAGATTATTAAATTACATCAATGAATATTTCCTAAAAAATCAACACGGTAAGCTGTTGCGTGTTTTTCTCACATACATTTCTAAAAACCCATTCTTACAGCTTTGCTGTGAACTAAAGTGTATCTGTACTACTTTTGGACAAACGATTAATATTGCCTCTTGTCACTTTATAAATATGTTCACTTGCATATAATTTCACCCTTTTTCCCCACTGTTGTCATACTAGACAAATGATTACGATTATCCTTTGTTGTGTAATAATGCTGTATTACAATGTTGTATGCCATTTGTACTTTTTTTTCCTTAATAAGAAGGCCAAAGTGAAGTGTATCAGTCACTCATACATAATGGAGGCAGCTGTTTTTCTAGTCAATCAATTTACTAAAATTAGTTTGATTAAAAAAAGTTTTCATGAGTACGTTCAGTGTTAAAGGAAATCTATAGTCACAGCATACACTTTGATCACTTTGATTCTATAACATCAGCATTGGAAGAGGAATACAAACAATAGTTATATTTGACAATCTAATATAAGCTTAGCCACTTTCCATCCGGCCCATGTACATTAACGGCGGGACGGGAGCAGTAAAGGAGCGGGTTGCCGTTCATAAACGGCGCCCTCATTTATAGGCTGTGCGCGCTCCCCGGGAGTGCACGGCACCGCAATCTGGTGCCCACTGTGTCCTCCGATCGCTGTACGGGACCTGTGTGAGATCTCGATCATGTGATCACTAATTGACTAATCAGTGATCACATGACTAGGTAGTAAGCAAGTTGTCACTTCTGACATCATTGCTTACTACTAGTGAAATCTGTGAATGATCACAGAGATCACATGGTACAAGGCTATTCACAACAGCCTTGTACAGGGGCGGACGAACCATTTGGAAACTCGGGCACTGCCTGAGGGCCCAGGGTCAGTAGGGGGCCCCATGAGATGCCCTTGGTACCTTTTTCATAGGCTTTTTTGAGGTTGGGCAAGGACACAGGGGCCCCATTATCCCCTATTGCCCGGGGGGCCCATGAGTTGTCAGTCCGCCCCTGGCCTTGTACCATGTGACAAGCTGTGACCAATCACAGCTCTCACAGTATTTCTCAATGTCTGCATGAATGCAGCCAGATAGAAGGAGAAATGATTGCTTTTACAGCCTTTATGGGTATAAAAGCAATCAGTGTAAAAAAAAAAAACTCTTCATCACCCTCCACAAGTAGTATAGTGTCACTATGGTGACACTGTACTGCTAGGGTGACAGAATGTTAGAAAAAAAAAAAAAAAAAACATAACAAAACAAAACATAAATAATAATATAAAAAATAAAATAAAAATGTATAAAAAAAAAAAATTTAGAAAAATTTTTATTTTGGTTA